TGCAATAGTAACTCTAACTAAGGGATGGGGATTTAGCCACTGAGCCATCTCCTTCATTCCAGCCTTGGGCTTCTTAGTTGTAAAACGGGGCTTGTTCCAGGTCTGCCTTGCACTGACAGACTGTGTAATAAGAACAAAGGGCTGTGTGGGAGCTGTGCTGTTCAAATGTTCCAAGTGACTTTCCTCTGCCCACTCTAGTCACCACAGGTGCTAAGGTAGCCTTTGGTGTCACTGCCTCCACAGACTGCCACAGAGCCCTTCTGAGCCAAAGTCTATAGGATACAGACCACCTGGGGAGATGATGGTGGGCATGGTCAGGTCAAGTGTCCCAGGGTGGAACTCGACCTCTTGCTTCCTCAGAGCTGCTCTCACTTCACACTGGCTTTGGGCACTCATTGGGACTGATGCCCCCTCTGGCATTAGCAGCCAGAGAGCACAGCTGTCTGGAATCCTCACAGTGTGCCCTGATGAGGGCAGCAAGGTCTCTCAGGTTGGTTCCCAAAGGGAGCAAAGGAAAGTAATATCACCTCATGATGAGTCCCCTCTCTCCACCTCACCCTTCCACCATGTCTGAGGACACATTCCTCCAGTCTTTCCAGCTGCCACCCAGACAGGTCTTACTGGAAGCCCCTGGTCACCCCTCCTTCTGTGTTCACCATTACTGTGTCTCTTGTGCCACAGTAGTGTGCTTCTCAAGACCCCCAAAGGCAGTCAGGCACTGAGGCACTTCTGCTCACGGGCATACACACTGCCGTCCTGCACATGGTGGGTGGGATACCAGCCGAGGAATGAGTTAAATGAGAAGGCACTGTTAGATGATTAGTGGCTGTCTAGCCATGACTGAGGGCCTGGGGGGAGTGGCCCACTAGATTCAGATCTTGTCTCTGGAACACTGTCTGCTAAGATTTCTTGGAAAAGCTCCTTTTCAAGGTCCCTGTCCTTCTGGTTTGTCGCTATCGTCTACCTGCTCTCCCATGAGGTCCATCTGGCCTTCCAGTCTTCAAGAGGCACCTGAAGTATAAATAGCAGCAATATCACACAGCTCCACAAGGCTTAGGCAAAGCTTGGCCTCCATCACATAGCCAACTTTTTTGCTGGGATTCTGCTAGGGGTCAGAGTGAGGGGCAAGGAAGGGAGACAGGCACAGAGAACAAACACAGGCTTCAGGACCCTGAAGCTGGTCACAGTTTAGCAGCAAAAACAGTTATTACCCAGGTACATGGACTGTCTCCCCAGAAGCCATGGGAACTGCATCACATTTCAGAGCCACAGTTAGGGTGGGAATTATAACCCTTTTCATTTCCTGCCTCTCATTGGTCAGTGCTAACTCCGGGGCATTGATTCAACCCCCTATCCCCAACACCCTTCTTGGGACAGTTACTGGGGCCCTTGCATAGCTAAAGAGTCCAACCTGGACAGTAGACAGTGCCTAGGCCTGGTGGGCCCGAGTGACACATATATCAAGTGTCATTTATGGAGAACTGTGCATTTCCACAGAGAGATGACAAGGTGAGTCTAGAGGGACTAGTGTTCCCAGCAAGCAGACCTTTGTTCCCCTGAGGGCAAGTGCACTAGAGGTTCATGTGTGGCTTGGCTGGGTCTTTGGGAGGCTATGAGCTAGGTGTCTTTTGTGGCTGGGTCTCTCTGAGGAGGCTCAGCCATTGGAAGGTCAGTTCGAAGCTCACTAGGGATTGTGACAGAATCTAGTATTGGTGGTTGCACACCAGACAGCTTCTATTCTTGGAGAAGACCAGCTTCAGCAAATTGGGGTCACCTGCAGATCCTTGATGTATGGGGCTCCCCAGAAGGCCACCTGTCTCCTCAAAATCAGCTGAGGAGATGGAGAGCTTAGCAAGACATTATCTTGTACTGATAGACACTTAACTTAGTCATGCATGCCTGTCTTGTTTGCTTACTTCTCTTGGTTAGACATCCATGCATGATCAGTGGATCACACCAGGCTGTGAATGCCCCAGGTGGAGGTTATGGAGCCATCTTACGTGTCTACCATCAGGCTGGGCCTGTAAATCCCAGCTACTTAGGAGGCTGAGACAGGATCAAAAGTCCAAGGCTTGCTTGGACTGTAGAGTGAGTTCAAAGACAGCCTGAGCAACTTGGTGAGACCGTGTCTCGAAATAAAGAGGGCTCATGGCTGTAGTTTGTTGGTAGAGTGCTTGCCTAACAGAGTCAGAGATATCTGGGAGAGTCCAGGATGGACATGACCAGATTGAGCTGGGCCCTGTGGGAAGATGGGATGGGGCAGGAGAGAGAGGGGAACCAGGTGCAGCAGCCAGGAGGCCAAAGGTCCAAAAGGGGCCGGTAACCAAAATTGTCTGGATTATATAGAGAAGAGCCTCTGGGGGAAGGGCAACCCAGCCCCTGGGCTGGACAGTTCAGGGTAGAGGATGGGGTACGCCAGCCTTACCCTGTAACAGATAGGGACTTGGGATGCTGGGAGAACCTGGAGGTTAATAGGAGGTTTAATAGGCACCTCAGCTGTTTGTCCCAGGTTTGAAACTTAATACAGTTGTCTCGGTGTTGATGCCTTCCAACCTTAAAAGGCACAGCCTTCATCTGGGCTACCAGCTATTCAGTTACCCAAAAAATCCCCATCCCTAAAATACCCAGGGACGCTGAGCATGATTGGAAACAATGAAACAAGTTCTCGACCTCATGTGCCACACTTATGGGTCTGGCCAAAGGATGGAGGGGCCTGCTGAGAGTAGGGGCTCCCCACTTTCCCACTAGCCCTCATCTGGCCTTTGTCCCTCCCTCTCTCCTCTCCCCTCTTCTGCCTGCCTGGCCTCACGTGGACTCAGCCAGTGTGTCAGGAGGTAATTGACTGACTGCCCAGCCCAGGGCAGGCTCTGCTGAGCCCATCAGGGCAGGGACAATGAAGGGGCACCTCAGAGGCAGAAGGCTATTTCTAAGGCTCACGGCTGATGAGCTGCGATTATCATTTTAATTTCAAGGCTGTCACCTTATAGTCAGGGTGCCCCTTCCAAAGAGCACAAAGCCCTCTGCAGCCTTCAAAAGGACCTCAGAGGGTTGGTGCTGCAGACCAGGAGGTACCCAGGACATTTATACCTTTCATCTTTGTTCTGTGCAGTCAGACCCCCGGCCAAGGCCTGACCACAGACAGTCCCACTGCCCCTGGGGACCACTTCTCCCACCCATGCAGTTTCCACTTTCTCCAAGGTAGGGCCCACCTGCTATCTGGAATTCCTTGAAACTCACCTTGATTCTGGTTTGCCAAACAGTAGCAACTGTAAAAACTTAGCAGGAAATTCTCACAGCTCTCTGGGTTTGGAGCTGTGAAAAAGCCTTCGCACTCCTCCTGTTACTCCCAGTGGGATGCACTGCGTTCCTGAGGGGTGAGAAGCACATCTTGGATTTCTCTATCCTCCTGTAGACAGGATGAGGATTTTGCACACGCTGTTCTTTGCACTTGGCTTCTGCGATCTGTTTCTTCAGTTGTGCGTTGCATTTCTTAAGCACTGCATAGCAGAGTACTCGATGCTTCTTTTTGTTTGCTTAGAGGGAAATGGTGTAATCCATTTAAATCCCTCCTGTTTGTTACACTGAGAGTGCTTAGTATATGTAAACCCTTCCTGCAGCTCAAAGCTCATCTGGAGTTCATGACCAAAGCAAGATAGTCAGCCCTTGGCTGGTTTTCCTCCTTCCCTCCCTCCCTCCCTTTATCCCTGCTGTACTACCTCCTATTCTTCCTCTCTCCCTCCCTTCTTCTGCCTCTTTCCTTCCCTTCTTTCCTCCCTCCCTTCCTCTTTTCTCTTTTTTTTCCTTCACCCTCCCCAGTAGTGCTGGGGGTGGAAGCCAGGGCCACGTCACTGAGGGCCACTGAGTCCCCCTCCCCCTCAGCATTCGGTGGTTGTTTTTAAGATGGGTATGCCCAGCGACATTACCCACATGATCAAGTCTTTCTCAATGAGTGGGCAGCTTTTGGGGCTTTGAGAGCTGCATCTAATTTGTACTAGGCTAGTCTGTAACCAAGTCCCAGCTTGCTGTGGCTGGGCAAGTCCCTGATTCTGCTCTAGGGATTCACTTTCACTTTCACTGTCCCGGGGACACCTGAATCTCCACCTCCCTGAGGATTGTCCTTTCTCCTGGCTAAGCCCGGTGTTAGTATTTGGGCATCTGTACTGGTCTGCCGTTGGAGTTCCAACAGGGTTCCCTCAGCTGCAGCCTCTAAGAGTACCACCTGTGCATATTCACTATGTTCCCTTTTAAAGGGACCCTGCCCACCTCCCATCCTCCTCTCTCTCTCTCTCTCTCTCTCTCTCTCTCTCACTTCCCTTGTCTGTTCCTTTCTCTCTCTTTCTCTGCCTCTTTCCTGCTGCTCCTGTCCCTGGAGGCCTATCTCCCCTCTTCCCTTTCTCCTTTTTAACCACCCCTTTCCCCTAATTAAAAAATCCCTCTGCTTGAATTCTGTCACATGGTGTCTTTCTCTCGAACTGCTTTTTAATATATATATATATATATATGTATATATATGTATATATATATTAAACATATATATATTATTTTCTAGCTTTCTGCAGTAGCCTTGGAAGAGCTGAATCTCCTGGGTCTGGGGTTGTTTAAATGGTCTGAGAGGTCGGTTACTGCATTCTGTCAAAGAGCCAACAAGATTAATAGGGTGGGGCTTTCCTTTTTAGCTATGTATTGAGCCTCACTCCCATGAGCCAGTCTGTGGATGGGGCAAGTGGAGCACTGAAAGTGTGGGCCTCTAGGAGGTGAAGACAGTGTCAAAGCCTTCCTGTGACCTCAGCACTTAACACAACTAAGGTAGACAGCTGTCATTGACTGCTATTGGTTGAGTGACTGAACGTCAGGCTGGAGATAGGGGTGGGACCACATGGGTTTGGGTGGACTTGGCCATGGCTCCTAGGTGTCCCCGGGACAGTGAAAGTGAAAGCAGCCCTTCTTCATGCCCTCAGTACCCCGAGTGACAAGCAGCCTTCTCCCTTGTGTGTTTCTAGAACTACTTTGAGAGCTACCTGGCAGTTGCCTCCACTGTGCCCTCCCTGCTATGCCTTGTGGCCAACTTCCTGCTTGTCAACAGGTAGGTCACCGCCCTCCCTGCCCTGCCTTTCACCCCCTGCCTCCTTCATTCCCTCTATTCTACAGAGGGGTTTTCATCTTAAATGGTGGTCCCCCAAATTGGAGCCAGGCAGTTCATCCTTGCCATGCAGTTTACAGATGGGAGCAGGTGCCAGAGGCTCCAATCGTGGGTCAGTGCTCATTTACAGCTACTTACAGTGACACCCAGGTAAGGTCCATCTCCCTTTGAGAGACCTATGGGACCACAGGCCCTTGCAGCCAAGACACAGTGTGTGGCTGTGCTGTAGGCCGTGACCTGAGGAAGCTGCTCTTTCAGATGCTCTGAGAGCTGCCAGATGCTGACTGCACCAACCCAACTGTTCTACCTGTGGGAAACAGTCCCTTCACCACTCTGTAATATGTTGAGGATATCATCTGGTGTGTCACCTCCTCACAGTGCATCTCATAGGTAATGATTCAGAAAGGCTTCTGGGTATACCATGGAGGAAGGAATTATTTGAGGGAAAAGTAAGTTGGTATGGCCCATAGCCTCTTCCTGTCCAGTCTCATTTGACTTGACAATGACAACAGTGCTAGTACCTTATTTGCATTTTCCTGAAGCTGCCTCTAGGCAATAATCGAGCCTCACTGTGGTCCAAAACTCTGGGCTTCCCTTCAGCATGTCTCACAGAAACCTCAGATCCCTGGTGACAAATTTATTTAGCTCTGGTCCCTCAGTTCTTGGTTCTCCTGCTGAAAATTCTAAGACAGATCTGGCCTCAGCCAGGCGCTGGGATTGATTAGTAATGTCTGCTCTGGGTACAGGAGAAAAGAGCAGAATGCATCCTATGTGCATTCTAAGCCTGTGGATAGAGCAGCCTTTCAAAATGCATCATGGCATAGGGCACAGTTGTATGGTAGATCCCGAAGTGTAGTTAGTGGCTTGCAACAGTACTAGTAATTAGTTTCTTTCACTATCTAGGGTTCTGGAGGCAGCCAGGCTGCACTGGAACATGCTGATGCAGTCAGACAGCAGAGGGGCTGGAGACTCTTAACCTTTCCCACCTCCCTGTCTGTCTGTCCTCATTGGCTTGCTCACATGGAGTCAAAGACTGTTCCCATTGTGGCTGAAGAACACATGTGAAAGCCAGGTACAAGCCACATAGTGTCACTTTTGTCACACTCAACTGGTCAAGGTTGTTACAAAGCCTCTTCCATTTCAAAGAGACAGAGACTTCATTTCCCCATGGTGGGAGTGTCAAAGAAACTGTATCCTTCTAAAATGGTGGTTCTCAACCTTCCTAATGCTGCAACCCTTAAATATAGCTCCGTGTGTTATGTGACCCCCAACCATAAAATTATTTTTATTGCTACTTCATAACTGTAAGTTTGCTGCTGTTATGAATTTTAATATAAATATCTGTGTCTTTTTGATGGTCTTAGGCAGATCCCATGAAAGGGCTGTTCGATCCTCCAAAGAAAGGGCTGTGACCCACTGCTCTAAGACCACCAAAGTAGTTTGAGAGAGGGGAAAGAATTCAGCCTCACCCCCTGGCCCCTAGGGCTACCTGCAGAGGTCTCCTTCACAGGCTCCTAGACTTCAGACACACACACTTTCAGGGTGCAAGTGATAAGGGAACATTTGGAGTATTTTTTAGTTCAACATAGCCTTTCAGAGCTCTCAGTGAGCTTA